CTTTATTATTTATGTGATTTGACGCCAATATATATATATATAGATAGATAGATAGAGTTTTGTCATAATTTTAAAATATTATAATCATTAGGTGATGCATATAAAACTATTAACAAATTTTATGGTACATATGTAAAATTATTACTCCATCCGTTTCGAATTAATTGTCATTCTGGAGAAAAAATTTCGTTTTAAAATAAGTGTCTTTTTATAGTTTCGAGACAAAATTTATTAGTTTTATATGATTATCTATTTTTCTATTGATTGAAAAATGGTTAGGTGTATAAGTAATTGTGTTTTTTTCTTGAAAATATGTAAAATTAAATGTTTCCTTAATTTGTGTGCAAAAACGTAGAATGACAATTAAAATGAAACGGAGGGAGTATTAGTTTTAAAACTATTCGTCTGTGTTTGTAAATGATCAAAATATCAGATTTGTTCCTCTTCATTAAAATTATCATCCGCAATAAATAAAAACTAAATCATCGTTTCCTAAATATTACAAATATATAACTATAAGATTAATATAAAATAAAGATTAAATAAATGGCGAGACCATAAATTAAATTATGTTGTGTTACTAAATAGAAATGTGTTATCTTACAACTATACATATAATTTATGTAACTTTTTGTGTCAAAAAGTTGGATGATAGACTAGAAATTTTGAATCATATATTCTGAATGCAAAGATGCTTAAATAAGAGTAAGATTTAATCTAACATTTAACCCTTAATTGAGCTCAGCTGGTTTTCTCTTCTACTCTTTGACACCGACCAAAACAAGTTTAATCGTATAGTATTGCTACCAAAACGTGATCCAGCTACATATATTTGCTCGTTCGTACTCGTACCATATTATTTAAATTAAATCATTTCAAAACATAACAATTATCACCTAGCAGCATATTTTTCTGCTTTTGTACTATTTTCTTTAGCTTAATACTATTGTCGATCAATAATAAAAACTGTAATGTGGCGAATAGTTTGAAGGTTTAAAGGCCAAAGTCCTTGTTATACAAAAGAAAGGGCACGCTTCATTTCTAGGATTCGTTTAATTATAAGTTTATGACTTAGGATGAGTCCCAAAAGCCTATAAACTCTGAATTTGCACGTGAAGTTAATCAACCAACAACAGGATTTTTTCTTTTCCCAATGCATTCACGATGAAGGCAAAACAAAACAAGGCAGTTTCATCGAGTTTGTGTTGGTGTTACTGCAGTATACTAAATAATATGCCAAACGCCAAATACTAAAGTTACACTTTTTTTTTTTTTTTGGTCAAAATGTTAAAAGTTACAGTTACACTTTTGAAGATGTATGCTTAAGATGGTGATGTAGCAGTGTGGAAGTAGTTCGAGAAGTGTGACATGAACTATGACTACAAGACGAGTGATTAAGAGAAACACGAGTCCTGGAGGGAGTTTTAATACTTTCTCAGGGTTTGTATTTGGGGTAAACGTCTAAAACTAACAAATTAATTGATAAAAAATCATGCCGGATGAACGGGGTGAAAGATACAAAACTCTATATACGATCATGCATTCACATTTTGTAAAAAAAGTCGCAAAATATTCCAAAGCACGAACTTTATTTTATGTTTTTGAACATTATGGTACAATGCGTTGTAATTCAAAATAACTTTCCCTGAAGGCCAGTCCCCCACCCCCGGGGCTGATTATAAATTTTCTTTAAGCAATTATAATTAAGTATATGAAATGCCGATCAACTCTAAAATTAAACATAATGCAAAAACTTATGGGCCCTGGTTAATTATGTTCCTGGCTACATCCGCCCCTGCTAAAGGCTATACGCCTTGCACATTCTAATTGGTCACCGTTCATAATAAACAACCAAAATTAAGACAGTAGGTTACCGGTTTTAACTCTTTATATAATTTGTCTGATCTAAACAAAACAAATTAAAATTCGGTCGCTCTACGTCACGCAGATTCGTTTTCGATGTTACAACTTGGTACCTAAACCCAAGTTGTCAACATTTTAATATTATTATGATCGACAGCTTCCACCATCGTCTAAGGTTCTTTCCTTTGATCACAATTTGTAGTTTTTTGGATTACATTAATCAATACTTAATCTCCTTGATTGTGTTTAAATGATTGTAGCGAGACAAAAGAAAAGAGTTCAAAGCAAAGTATTTTTTGTGACTAATCCAAAAAAGTTCTAAAGCAAAGTAGTTGCATGGGGTTCCATGTACTATTACTCGTGGGGGTAAATATTTATTGTGACTATTCTATAGTCTCGTTCTAGTAAAAGAAACAAGATTTTGTCGCGCATTGATTATATTTATTATAAAAGTAATGCATATTTTAAAAGATGGAGTTGTGGTCCTAGCTCAAGTCATCAGAAGTAAAATTAAGTGTTAGGTCAAATAATATAGCATAGTAATCTTTCTTTGATATATAAAAAGGAGAAAAGATGCTATACCTTACAGAATATTCTCCGTTAACCACATATAGCCTACTGCAACCTGCATCTCCACACTTTAAATTTCAGTGAAAATAAATTAAAATGCTATTGCCTATTATAGTACTGTGCTAATAAGTCTTATAATTTATTTTCCACTTAATTTAAATAATTTTTACAGCAAAACTGATGAGATGATAAACGGGCTAAAAGTCTAAGAACAGTTCCAGCCCATTCGTAAAAGCTAGCAAGATAGGGCCATAAATGGGCTGTATGACATATGTTTGTTTCATATTCTGATCTCAAACTCCTAATTGGTTCAATCCAATCCCACAGACGGAACGGAAGCTCAAATCAATATGAACTAAACATTTTAATATTTCTTTTGTTCAAATGAATAACTTAATAATTTATGCTTTGTTTTTTGATTCAAAAATATATTTTACTAGGTGTTTTGCCCGCACTTGCGGGCTTAATAATTTTACTAATATCTATAAATAAATATATAATCAATTTATGTAAATTATAATAAATTATAGTTCATAGACTCAAAATATTTAATAATAAACTAAACAAATTCTTTCTATATATAAAATTTTTCATCATCATATAAAACATTTAGTAATAAATTACTATCATTTTTAGACATAACAAAAAAGTATAAAAATTATCTTTAATAATGTTTTGGATTAATATAAATTATCTATACATCAATTCTTCGCAAATTGATTTTTCATAATTAACTATATATTAACAAATAGAATTAGTTTTCAACGTTAATAAAGACTTTATAACACAATATAAAAAAGTTAGGTAAAGATAATTATCAAATTCATGAGATTCATTTTTTAATTTAGAATTAATTATATGTTAACAAATATAATTATTTTTCAAAATAAAGACTTTATCCCATAATATAAAAAAATTAAAATAAGGATAATTATCAAATAAATGAAATTCGTTTTTAATTTATAATTAATTATATATTAACTAATATAATTGTTTTTCAAGGTTATAAAGACTTTATAACCCAATATAAAATAGTTTTAGATAAAGATAAATCTAAAATCATTGAAATTCTTTTTTATTTATTTTTAAATAAAATAGTTTTTATTTTATAATAAATTATTAAAACATGAAAATAAGCAAAATAACCTTAAATCATGGAGAAGTTGACAACCAAGCAAATTTACTTCTCAAATAATGTTATAGATGAAAAATATATTTTTAAGATAAAAATCTAATACAAAAGAATTAACATATATTTTAAAAATATAATTTTATTAACATAAATTCGTTTTTATTATATAATAAACTATTAAAACATGAAAATAAGAAAACTCACCTAAAATCATGGAGAATTTGACAACTAAGCAAATTTACTTCTCAAATAGTTTTAGATAAAGATAAATCTAAAATCATTGAAATTCTTTTTTATTTATTTTTAAATAAAATAGTTTTTATTTTATAATAAATTATTAAAACATGAAAATAAGCAAAATAACCTTAAATCATGGAGAAGTTGACAACCAAGCAAATTTACTTCTCAAATAATATTATAGATGAAAAATATATTTTTAAGATAAAAATCTAATACAAAAGAATTAACATATATTTTAAAAATATAATATTATTAACATAAATTCGTTTTTATTATATAATAAACTATTAAAACATGAAAATAAGAAAACTCACCTAAAATCATGGAGAACTTGACAACTAAGCAAATTTACTTCTCAAATAGTTTTAGATAAAGATAAATCTAAAATCATTGAAATTCTTTTTTATTTATTTTTAAATAAAATAGTTTTTATTTTATAATAAATTATTAAAACATGAAAATAAGCAAAATAACCTTAAATCATGGAGAAGTTGACAACCAAGCAAATTTACTTCTCAAATAATGTCATAGATGAAAAATATATTTTTAAGATAAAAATCTAATACAAAAGAATTAACATATATTTTAAAAATATAATATTATTAACATAAATTCGTTTTTATTATATAATAAATTATTAAAACATGAAAATAAGAAAACTCACCTAAAATCATGGAGAATTTGACAACTAAGCAAATTTACTTCTCAAATAATGTTATAGATTAATCTTTAATTTTTGTAAAATGGGAAAATTCAGTAATATGTATATTTTTTTTGTCAAACTCAGTAATATGTATATATATATACATGAAAATATTAAAGTAAGAAACAATGAGAAAAATCTAGTGTATACTTGTATCTTTGTTATATACAAATTTTATGGTTAGATACCAAAGTGTAAGAAGAGAAGTAGAAACAAAACTGAACAATCAATAGGATTAGGACAAAATCCAAAACAAAAAAAAGAAATTGACGTGAAAAAAAAAAGCAAAAAGAAAAGCTTTAGTTGTCCGAAGCAGGAACACGTGTAAGAAATCGCCGTTAGCTCCCACTAACGGCGTTGTCAGACTCTGAAACGAAAAGTACCGAAACTACCCTTCTTCAGACTCTCCTTGTCATCTTGGTATAAAAAAAGTAGTAAAGAATATAAATTCATCAGCTTTATTCTTGATTTTATATTGCAAAAACCACCCCACTGGTTCATTCGTGCCTCTTTTTATAACCCCCAAAATTATATAATAATATAAAAATGTAAATCACAGCTAAAATATGCTACCAAAATGTGGCCGTGAATGGAAAGACGATGAATGAATATCATCCATAGCCTCTCTCATAAGTTGCAGCCGAACAAGTTTGGTTTCTGATCCTTTCTTCCTTCTTATTCTCATGTGTCTGGTTATTGAATATCATCGTATCTAAAAGTGGGCTTTGTCTGAAAATTACAGATCTTCAATCGATATTGATTGCAAGACGAATCTGAGGGTTATTCTCAGGTAAAGATTTGATTTTTGTGGATGACCCTTTGTAAAAAGTTCAGATCTTTTTATAGATTTTGTAAGTGGGTTATATAGAAATTCAAGATCCGATAGATTGGTGATCCCTTTGTTGGTGGTGATTGGTGAACTGTTTTTGATCTGATCTTGTCTTTGTGGATTCTAATGATTGCTTTTTTTTTTCTGCTGAGTTAGATCAGTTTTCTGATGATGTCAGAGATTAGCTCTCACTGGTCAAGAACTGTACTTTTTTATATATCTTACTTGTCTCACTCAACGTTACTATCATCTCAACAATTAAATGAAATTTCATTGGATCATTAATTTAAAAAAGCACAAGATCCTGTAGATGTGTCTTTGTTTATTTGGATGATTTAGATTGATATGGATCTGAGTTTCTTCTTTGATTGTTTTTTTTCTTTAGCGTCATCTCATCATGTTGGAAGCTCCGAGTTATCTGGTGTCAAGAGACTTACCATCTTCATGTGAGGAAGAGAGCAAGTGGATATACAACGCTCACTGCGTGCTTCAGCTCTCCTTGAAGAAGCGCTTCTTGGATGATGAAGAAGGAAATTCTTTCAGGAAAATGCTACGTGTTGATGATCATCTAAGGAGAGATGAAACCCATCAGGGGTCTAACCAAAGTCAGCAAGGTGGTGGTGATCAACAGAGTTCACCAGTAACAACCCTTGACCAGAACGCACTTCTGAACTGCTTAGCTCACTGTTCTTTATCTGATTTCAACTCCATCGCCTCAACGAACAGAAACTTCCGCTCGCTCACCAAGAACAGCGAGCTCTATAGGCTGAGACGAGCTAAGGGTATTGTGGAGCATTGGATCTACTTCTCTTGCGTGCTCTTGGAGTGGGAAGCTTATGATCCAAACGGAGACCGTTGGCTACGTGTACCCAAAATGACATTCAACGAATGTTTCATGTGTTCAGACAAAGAATCTCTTGCTGTCGGTACAGAGCTTCTTGTGTTTGGTAAAGAGATTATGTCCCATGTGATCTACAAGTACAGCATCCTGACCAACACATGGACGTCAGGTATGCAAATGAATGCTCCTAGGTGCTTGTTTGGATCAGCTAGTCTTGGTGAGATTGCTGTTGTAGCTGGAGGATGCGGCCCTCGTGGACAGATCCTGAACTCTGCTGAGATTTATAACTCGGAGACAGGGGAATGGACCGTGATTCCAAGCATGAACAAGGCGAGGAAGATGTGCTCAAGCGTGTTCATGGATGGGAAATTTTATGTTCTTGGAGGTATAGGAGAGGGGAACTCTAAGATGCTTAGGTGTGGTGAGGTCTATGATATGAAGAAGAGGACATGGACACTGATACCTAACATGTTACCGGAAACAAGTAACGGAGGAGGAGATCAGGCAAATGAGAATGCCTCTGCAGCGGCGGTGTCAGGTGCACCACCGCTTCTAGCTGTTGTGAAAGATGAGCTTTATGCTGCAAACTATGCTCAGCAAGAGGTGAGGAAGTATGATAAGAGGTGTAACGTGTGGAACAAAGTTGGGAGTTTACCGGAGAGGGCTTCATCGATGAATGGTTGGGGAATGGCGTTTAGGGCTTGTGGAGATCAGTTAGTGGTGGTTGGAGGGCCTAGGGCACTTGGAGGAGGGTTCATAGAGATCAATGCTTGTGTCCCAAAGGAAGGTGAGGCTCTGCATTGGAGAGTGCTTGCTTCAAAGCCATCAGGGAGCTTTGTGTATAATTGTGCTGTTATGGGATGTTGATGAAAAAAAAAAGACTTGAGAGCCCATTTCAAAGTTGTTGACTTCTTTTTTATTCAGGGTTCTTACATGTTATTTTTAACACTTTTTTTCATGATTGGGGTCAAGAGACAGTCTCTATGTTTTTTCTTCATTGTCTTTGTTGGGTTATTGCTGTTGAGGCATAATCTGGAACTGAACAAGTTTCAATAAAATTTGAAGAAGATTTAAGAACATAACTTAATGTTGTCTTATAACATTGTAATTTGACTCCATTATTAGCACATTGTAATTACTGTAAGTAGTTTTATAATTAAAACAAATATTTACTTTAAAGATAGTACAACCCCCCAAAAAAAAAACAGAGTTGAGAAAAACAGAATACTGTAAACAGAGCCATTCGTTGTGACCGTCTGCTGTGCCATTCCGTTTTCGTTGTGACCGTTTGCTGTGCCGTTCGTTGTGACCGTTTGCTGTTTGTTGTGATCGTTTGCTGTGCCGTTCGTTGTGACCGTTTGTTGTGAAATGGATATGACTATCAAGGATGTCGAACATGCAGAACCGTGCGTCGATCCAAATATTATGGGGAGAGCTTCATCGTAGAATCATCTATGGAGTTGTTCATCAAGATCACTTATATTGCAAGTAGTTGATCATCATATGTAATAGAGTTAATGATTATATAATAATGTACCTGTTACCCAATGTTAAAAAAAAAAAAAAAGAGAAAAACATAATATCCCCAAAAAAAAATAAAATTAGAAATAGTCCTCTAAATATGTTTGATTTTATATAATGTTAAATAAGAAATTAGTAAAAATATTAAACTAGTAGACTAATATATTTGGACTTTTATAGAACATGAAGCCATAAATAAGATCTAAAATTCAAATACTTTTATAAGTACGAAGATCATATCATTTTTTGGGAGTAAAGCACGATAGAAATCCCTTTTTAGGTGAAAGAAGAATCTTATTCATTTTTCTCTTCATTTCTTCCTCATCTAGTCCTTCCCCTTGCACGATAAGTATGCTGTTTTCTATTGCTACAGATGTAACTCCTAATTAACAAAATGAGAAATTCATTAATATATATTAATGTTTCTAAATTTTAGCTCAAACATAACCATTAAATTGTGTTAGTGTACCTTTGTAACCAAATACATAATCTAGAGCTTTCGTCTTGGCTTTTTCACAATCAGAATCAAACTGGAATTTCACTTCTTCCTGCAAGAAATGAAATTACAATTAAAGTTTTAAATAATTCCTATATGACCAATATGGCAACATCGGTTCTGAATGTGAAAAAGATATATGTATATGCTTTTATACGACCCTCCTCGCAAATTAACTAACCATTTTTTAGAACTTTGAAGTTTAGAGATTGAACAGAGATGATAAAAATAATGTGATTTTAACTTAATTAGTAACCTGTTTATAACGTCTATATATACAGCACTATTAAACTCAACAATTTTGATATATTTATGTAGTCTTGCATGAATGTGATACATGCTAATACATTAATTTAGCTTCCGTTATTACTAGATCCTCTAAGTAGTCTTGCATGAAGGTGACACATGCTAATACATTAATAGAGGATCTGAAACATAACAGCCTTAGTTATTATTACTGCCACGAATATCTAGCACAAAGATAAACAACCTTCCAACTATCTACTTCATATACAATCTTGATAAAGCTAATAAAATAAAGTCTAAAAGGAAATGGATAATAGTATACAAGACATAGCAAAGGTACAGGATCCCAAAATCAAGCATTTGTCTTTGCATCACATATTCACGCTAACATGTTCTACATCTGAAGCTTCAAGAAACATATAAGATTAGACGCTTGGTTTTTAAGTTTTAACCAACAAGAAACATGTTATAGTGCTCCTTAAGCTTAGGATAAATAATGGGGATTTAAGTACCCATTTGAAACATCAAATGGCTACTTGACCTTTTTAATTATGTAACTTTTATCCTCAACTTCACGTTTTTGTTCTCAGGTCTTTATATAAAGTGTTTAGAGTATGATGAAAGTGTTATATTGACATTTTTTGCACAAAGAGAATATAACTTTATAATTCAAATGCTTTGAATTTATAAACAATTTTACTTATCTTAAAACCTAACTACTTAAATATAGATGTAATTATTATTCATTTTCTTAATTGTATTCAAATGTCAAAAGGATATTTTTTCGTGAACCTGAAGAAATAATTTTCTACATAAAAATTCATGTCGTGTATCAAACAAGGTAGATATGTGACAAAGCATCTGCCATCTAGCATGCTGGGTTTCACTAGTCTTGTTGATGTGTTTAATAACCAAATTTGAAAATGCAAAGAGTGTGAGAGTATAAAATGCATGTTCATGCGCATGTCAAAGTTTGTGTGTTGCTATCTAAAACCAAACGTAAGCAAATATCCTAACATAATATCTTACATTGTGTATATAAAAACCTTTAGTATGAAGTATAGATGTTATAATCTATCAAACTTTATATATTTCCTTCCCCTCATAGAATCAAAAATGATTCTATATCTAATTATTTCGTTAATCACCATCATCATCACCACCATCATGCTTTATCAAAGGTGGTGGACATCCAACATACCTCCAGGACCAAAGCCACGGTTTATCCTCGGAAACATTCATCAACTGAAACCACATTGGACTCATTCTTTCTCCGAATGGTCACAAACCTATGGTCCCATCATATCTGTATGGTTTGGAACAAACCTCTCTGTCGTTGTCTCTAACTCTGATTTAGCTAGAGAAGTGTTGAAAGACAACGACCATCAGTTGTGTAACCGAGAAAGAGTAGCAAGGATGACTCAGTCAGGTAATGATCTTGTTTGGTCTGATTACAATCCACATTACGTGAAGCTGAGGAAGCTATGCACGTTGGAGCTTTTCTCTCTAAAGAGCATGGAGAGTTTCAGGTCTTTGAGAGAGATGGAAACAACGTCCATGGTCGAGTCGGTTCTCAAGGACGTGATGATAGATTCAAACAATGATCAGACAAGAAAACCGCTGGTCGTGAGGAAGTATCTAGCTGCTGTTGTTTTGAATACAATCTCGAAGTTAATGATTGGGAAACAGTTCAGCACAGAGGAAGGTCAAGAGTTCAAAGAGATTGTCCACAAAGAACATTATCTCAGTGGCTCAGGGAGCTTGTTCGATGTCGTGTGGTGGCTCAAATGGGTTTCGAAGTGGCTCGTTAACGACAAAGACTTCTTGGCGCATATGGATCGTAGAACAAAGTGGTTTAGAGGAGCTATCATGGTGGAGGAAGATGTAGCAGTAGAGGATCACGAGGGGTTTGTTAGGAAACTGTTAGTGTTGAAAGAGAAGAAAGAGCTGAGTGAAGAGACGGTTCATGGATTAATCTGGAACATGTTCACCGCAGGGTCAGACACAACAGCTGTTGTCTTAGAATGGGCTATGACAGAGATGATTAGATGCCCTCACGTGCAAAGAAAAGCGCAGCAGGAGCTTGATGCCGTGGTTGGATCAGAGAGGCTAATGACTGAAGCAGACATCCCAAAACTACCATATCTACAATGTGTGGTCAAAGAAGCTTTGAGACTTCACCCGTCAACACCAACAATGCTTCCACATAAAGCAAGTGAAACGGTATGGTTAGGTGGGTATAAGATTCCTAAAGGAACCACGGTTTATGTCCACGTGAAGGAGATAGGACGTGATCCAGTAAACTGGATAAACCCTGAGGAGTTTAGGCCAGAGAGGTTTCTCTTAGAGGACACTGATGTCAAAGGTCGAGACTTCAGGGTTCTTCCGTTTGGCTCGGGGAGAAGGGTGTGTCCAGCTGCACAGCTCAGCATGAACTTGATGGCATTGGTGATGGGGAACTTGTTGCAATGCTTCTCGTGGAGTTCACCTATTCCTGTGGAGAGTATTGACATGAGTGAGATTCCTGGATTACTTTGTGTCATGAAGACTCCAGTGGAAGCACTTGCTTCGCCGAGAGCTGCCACTAGAGCTATACCTTTGAATATGGGTTGAATAAATAAGAAAGATAATGGAAACTCAGTAGATAATGATGACTCTCATTAGGGAAAAGAAGATGTAGTAGCCATGTCAAAAATACTAGAGGCATGGTATAGTTTACTACATGGTTGAATCTGGTTTCATAAAATAAAGATGTAACTAATGTATATGGAAAATAAAAGTAAAATTTTTCCATGGAGAAAGCCAAAACCCATCATTTGAAGATATTCTCATTGAAGAACACGGTTGCTGAAATGGTTTGTACAAACAGAATGTAGCTATTATGGTAAATAAACTAAATATTCCAAAGAAGGGTGAGCCTCATCATTGCTAAAATTCAGAACCTCATAACACAAAATTTACACATCTGTTATAGAAGCAGGCCATTAATGTGTGTTGTCTAGGGCTCCCATCATTCCTCACCATCTTCTGTTGACATGAAGACATAAATAAGGTTAAGAGATCACAAGAAGACATGAAGATTGTTGAGATGAAGCATAATTAAGTTGCCAGACTTGAGAATCTGTTCACAAGACTTGAGAAGTTGTACATCAGACTTTAGGACGACTGGAGTAAAGCGCCAGACTTGAGAAGCAAAACAGTTTAGACGCCTTGTTGTCTAAAATAAGATTGTATGCCGTTTAGGGTTTTCTGGGGTATCTTATCTTTTTCCTTTAAATACTTGTATTCAGATCTACAATAAAATCAAGGAAAATTAGTTTCTCTCCTTCTCTATCTCTCTCTTGTTCTTTGTGTTCTTCATTCTTCAGAAACAAATCTTTTCTTAATCTCACATAAACTCTCACTAAATCTGTAAATCTCACATGGTATCAGAGCACCAAAGCTCTTGAGACCTTATTCTCCTTACTTTCTTTACTTCTTCTGCAATTTCTCTGATTTATTTTTCTATTTTCAGATCCAGAAGTTCATCCTGTTTTTGAGTTGTTCTTCATTTTCCAGAAATTCCCAAAAATGGAAAAGTCTATTTCACCTGAGTAAAGGAGATTTTCGACCAAGAAAATGAAGAAGGGGAACCTCATTCCAGTGACCCTAGAGGTACCTACTTTCTTTTATGGTCAAGAGTGGCAAGAGTTACTTTGGGAAGTCATGGACTTTGGGATAGCCATATCATAGAGGCTGATATTTCAAAGAGGATGGCTCAAAAGGATGGTCAGGCTACTTGCCTGAAGCATGAAGACAAGTGGGTTCAAGAGGAACATTAAGCACTTGAAATTATACACAGCTCTCTGTCTGAACAGATCTTGGAGGATAATCATCACCTCAAAACCACCAAGAGTCTATTGGAGAAGCTTCAAAATGTTTATGGAAATCTATGGGAGAGTTTTCAAGCTGTCTATGAGCAAGACAAAGTTTATAGTCTTCTCCTAAACTTGGATTTACTCTACAAAAGTCTGATAAATCATATTATTCAAGAAAGGAAGCTTCCTTCCCAAGGAAGCCAGCCAAGTACATTTAAGCTCAAGGAGTTTGAGCATCAAGTCATTGAAAGAAGAACCATGTATTCAGCATTCTATGGTGATTCTAATGATCAAGGAGGACTATGGAGGAGTATGGCAGGGGCGACCAAGTCTAATGGTCCAGTGACCAGAAGAGACTTTGATGCATTTATAAAAGCTGCCAAGGTCTTTATCTCACCCAAGGAGGTTGGTAATTATTCCCCTGACTCTAAACTCATTATTATAGATTCACGAGCTAGCCATCACATGATCAGTGATAGAAACCTGGTTAATAATATCAAACCTGCCTCAGGGAATGTTCTTATAGCAAATGGTGATAAGGTTAAGATAGAAGGGATAGGGAACCTTAGGTTGTTTGATAAAGAATCAACTGCCTTGTATATGCCCCAGTTTACATCAAAATTTCTATCAGTGAAAAGAGCAACCGTTGATCTGAATTGTCAAGTTGTCTTTAGACCTGATGAGGTTGAGTTTCAAGACTTGAAGACAGGACAAGTTGTTGGTAGAGGACACAACCATCAGGAACTGTATCATCTAGAGAAGACTAAGATATCTGGTGCATCGCCTGCTCACTGCTTGATATGTGCTTCTAATGGGGTTGAGAGCACCATATGGCACTCTAGATTGGGACATCTCCATACCAGAGCCTTAAACTTGATGCTTCCAGGTATGGTGTTTCAGAATGATGAATGTGAGGCATGTATCTTGGGGAAGCATTGTAGGACAGTCTTTCCAAGGTCTAGCACTATCTATGAGAAGTATTTCGACCTAGTTCATTCTGATGTGTGGACAACACCTTGTATTTCTAGAGAGAATCACAAGTACTTTGTCACCTTCATTGATGAGAAGTCAAAATACACATGGGTGACTCTGATTCAGACAAAAGACCGGGTGCTAGAGGCATTCAAGAACTTCCATAACCATATTTCCAACCATTTCAATGCCAAGTTAAAGATTCTCAGATCTGATAATGGTGGAGAGTACACTAGTCAATCATTCAAGCAATATCTAGCTCAGCATGGGATCATTCAGCAAACTAGTTGTCCTTACACACCACAAAAAAATAGTGTGGCTGAGAGGAAAAATCGACATCTGATGGAGGTGGCCAGGAGCATGATGTTCCATACAAGTGTACCTAAAAGTTTTTGGGGAGATGCAGTCATGACAGCATGCTATCTTATCAATCTGATCCCAACAAGAGTACTCCAAAATCACTCTCTTTATGAGGTATTGAACAAAACTAAGCCATCTATTGATCATATGCGTGTGTTTAGGTGTCTTTGCTTTGTTTTGATACCAGGAGAACAAAGGAACAAGCTAGAGGCTAAAAGTACAAGATCAATGTTCATTGACCACTCTCCAAACCTCAAGGGATACAAATGCTATGAACAAGAGACTAAGAGAATCTTGATATATAGAGATGTAAAGTTCATAGAGTCCAGAGGGTTTTACACCAAAAAGTTATTAATGCATTTTTAGGGGAAATGAGAATCCTCTTTTCATCAGTCTTCTACATAGTACATCGACAAATAAATTAATCTCTAAAGATAAGAAGATATAGAATAAAATAAAGATTTGACAATGAACTGATAAATAGTATACAATGTTGAAGTAGGATAGAGAGTTGGACCACAGATCTTCCTTAATGATGTCAGCGACCTGCTACAAGAGAAGGTTACCGAGTTCAAATTGGGCACAATAATAAACATGGTGTTAAGCTTATAACAAATCAAAATTCAGAGAGAAGAGAAGCATGTACCTCACCATGGATCTCATCCCCAGCATCTTCCTTATGTTGAGCATCAGTAAACCAAGTAAAGAAGCTGAAGAGAAAGTAGAGTAGAAAGGTTAACCTCACGTCACGTGCTTCATATATTATCCATGACCACAAGAACGATAAGATTGCGTCAGACAAGCAGAGAACGGTATAATATTAAGTCAGGGAGATTCGAACTCACGCCCTTTCATATTATGTCAATCTATCCTCAAGACTGATGGAACAGAGCCAAGAGTTAAAAAAAGCATCACCGAAACTTCAAAGTCAGACAGAACTCCTCCCTGGTTGCTTCTCTACACATGTCCTTTCACAGCTTTCGAGTTTCCTCCACTTCTTCCCACTCACCAATCTCTGCAAGGATGTTGGACAGTGAAAACATACGCTCTAGGGTCTGATGGCTTTGGCTCTATAACTTCTTTTGCAGTTAGCTTCCCGAGCTCAACATCCTCGTCAAGTCTGCATTTGATCACCCGAGCTCAAACAGCTTTCCCAAACTTAAGCTTCTCAAGGGAAGAGAAGCACACGAAGCAAAAACACTGGAGTGACTGGAATAAGTATAACTATCAGGTCTCTGAAACCCACCGCACATTTCACAGAAAAATATCAAAACAGCACCCATAAACTTGATTCCTAAGTGCTCCTGCTATGATAGCGATCCAACTATACACACTAGGACATAAACTGTTACGGAAGACCTTATAAGCATCAATGCAAGAAACAACCCATCTTTATTATATGACAACACACCACCTCACTGAACAGAGGGGCCTGTAAAGCAGTAGAAGCCGAAAGCACCTATGGGTATATCTCTTTTATTCTTCTTATCTTTTCTTGTTTGTCTTTCTTTCTCCAGTAGAAATAATCAAATAATTGTAGTTTATGGAGTTTATCACAATAATAACCAATGTTTTAATTCTATGTTTTAGATAACGAACAAAAAGTTATACGTAGAGTGTCTAAGATTAATTTTAAACATACGTAACCACATTACCTTCCGATTGATGAGGTGTTGTATTAGAAATGAATTAGAAAAAAAGTTATAGTTTGATGTAACTTGCAGTAAAATTTATGTGGTAAAAACGGTAGATTTATGTAGTAAACTTGCTGTAAAAATATGATTTATGATGCTTTTAAAATAATTGATTAGTAGCATTTTTGAGGTATAAACTGTAGTATGTGTTATTTAAATAAAATATTATGAATATCATAGTAATAAAATGTATTATAAATATTTAAGAAAATAAATTAAAATAATAATTATTTGATTTAAATAAACGAAAGCCAAACTAAAGATATATTAATTATAATATAAGGTGTCTATATATAATCTGTGTAACGACTTTGAAATTACTATTTTTGCTAAAATAGTTGATTGATAATTTTTGATGTATGATTGTAAAAAAAAATTGAAAATAAAATTAATTGTTACAAATATAATAAAAAATCTATATAAAATAATTATATTAATTTCAGTTTAAATAAATATATTTATTATATAATAAAAGGCTATCACACTCATAAATAATTTATGTGTGTAACATTTCAGTGTTAATAACTAAAATTATAAAAAAAAAAAAATTTTAAAAAGTCAACAGCTATATATATCCTACATAATTGTGAAATGTATTTGAAAACTTGATTTTTTAATATAGCTAAAGTGGACGTGGGTTTGAACCAAAAAAATGCTAACTCAATTCTTAACACATGACATTTTCATTGATATTGGATTATCACTTGATTTATCAATTTTATCAAAAGGATAACTCAAAATTGTAGCTCAAGTAGTATATCATAATGTAAACTTAACTCAAAAACCTAAAAAAAATTCATGATTGGTAACATTTATTGAGTTATACCTATAACTAAAACTTAATCAGTTGTAACTCAGTCACCAATCAAACAATGCTGATCCCAATTAATTTTTTTAAAATTCCCCCACTTTTTGAGTACATGTGCATCCATAATTATCCTATTACTGTTTCAAACAAATCCAATTAAATAAAAGTTGATACTTATGCATGCACGAATCTTTTCCCTTTCCAATTTACTTTAACATGCCTTAAATTAGATTAGGTTTTGTTAGCAATTTTTTTTTCTTTTACTAAATTACCATTCCTACTTCGAGTATGAATAGGAAATAACATTGTTCAATATAAAACCATTACATTGAGATCTCTTCTTCTTCTATGTTACTCTCCTCTTCTCCTAGTCTCATATTATAATTAACCTCTCTCCATTAAACAAAGAGTTCAGCCATGACGGAGTACACTGATTATGAATATACCGTCTCTCCTCGCCGGCAGTCAAGTACCACTCCTCTTACTGTCAAGCTAACGTGCACCGAAGTCCGCCGCAGAAAAATCCGCTACCGCAACGGTGTAACAACCTCGTCACCGTCTCTTCCCGACAAAAGCACCGTCCAACAGTCCGGTTTTATCCGCTTACAAAAATCCAACGTCCCTGTTGAACTTGCTCCTGGTCCTAACGAAACAACCGTTACGTCCAGCTCAAGCGAACCAACTACTAAATACTCTCTAGACTGCGCTAAGATTATTTTGCAAATCTTGCGCCGATTCGGCATTACCAAATATGGTAGCACCATTATCTTGTCTGAGATCGACACAGCTATTACATCGTCATCGTCATGGGGAGACAGAGGAGTGATTGAAGTCAAGATTTGGAAGATCATAACCAAAGTTTGTAGAATCTACGGTATGACTATAGAGGAATACTGCTCCAAACCGACGTTGGAGGAGGAGAATGATAATGAATGTGTGATTTGCCTGGAGGAATTCAAACAAGGAGAAGTGGTGTCTACGTTGATTTGTGAACATCGTTTTCATGCACATTGCATAACTAAGTGGAAGAAGATCAGTCATCAATGTCCCTTGTGTCGAATTCGCTTCCACTAGGGTATTGGTCAGGGTTATTAGTTAATAAGAACACGATTTGAATTTTTTTGGTGCTCTAAAAAAAACAAGAACACAATTTGAAAATTTATTATAAGAAAACCCCAAAAAAACAGTTTTGATCTTTTTATATATAACAATTATTTGGGTTCCTGCACTGTATATATCTTATTTTGTTCATGAATATCTTTACATGCTCTACTATTTTAATGAAGAGTCTGAAAAACAAGTAGATTAACTCGTTCATATATATATATATATATATTAGGGACAAAGTCCTACATCGGAAGTTGGAAAGGATTCTATCTACTATATAAGATAGATGGTCCACTCCACCTATCACCAATTGGTTGTAGGTTGGAAGCACATCTACCCTAACATGGTATCAGAGCCCACGATCCACACAGTCCAACCCGATCCATTATCGATATGTGCCCAAAGTTGGCCCATCGTTTCCTTGGCACTGCTTTTGATCTTAAATTTGATTTGGTTGATGCGTCCGCTTGTAGGTGTTCCAAAGATTAGGTTGAGAGTGCTCCAGACCTCGTGAGTTGTAAAAGCACTAGCAACAAGTGGCTGAACAGGTAGAGATATTGTTCCTATAAGAGCAGCACTGTATAATAGCTTATCTTGTCGTCTCCAAGGTACGTAGGCTGGATTTGGTTCTGCTAGACCATTGTTGGTGATGACAGCTTCTGGAGTTGAGGCTGTTTTCTCAAGAAACGTATGTAATTCATGTCTCTCGAGAAGTGCTTGAATTTGCTTGCTCCACATAAGGTAATTGGTGGTAGTCCACATGTTGACAACAAGAAGTGAGCTTGTTGGATTTGTTGGATCATACACGGCTGTGCGTGTTGCTGTTGATGCTGCAGACGTAGCTGAATCAGACATGTTCTTGATGTTTGTTTAACGAGAAAAGAAAAAAAAAATATTATTGGATCGAATTGATTACATGAGGTCTCTTTATATAGAGATACAAGGTTTATCAGATGCCCTAATGCCCTAATGTAGATAACAACGAACTATATACGTAGTTAATCTACTCACAAGAAAAAGAGTTATCTTTAATAATGTACTTATCCTAATAATATATATATACTAGATTTTGACCCGCGTTTAAAAGCGCGGAAATTTTTTTTTGATTAAAAGTTTATATAATTAGGTTTTTTCTTTATTTAAATTATGTTTTGGTATAAAATCAGTAATCCAAAATTTGTGGTGATAATTGTTTTGCATTAGTTTTTAGTTTCAGTTTTTATTTTTAGATTTGGTTTTAGATTTTGGTTTTAAGTTTTTAATTTTTAAGTTTCTAGTTTTGATTTTCAGCTTTTGGTTTGGGTTTTTAGCTTTTAGATCCACTGAGTTAGTTTGAACTCATAATTACCAACAAACAAATCCCAAAGAATCGAACATCTAATTTAAAACTGAAAAGATGACAATTTTTATTTAAAAAATTGCAATAGTTTATTTTGTAAATAAACAAAACAAAAGCAAAAATATAACATGTGTTTTCAGCTTTTGGTTTTGGATTTTAATTTTTAGATTTGGTTTTTAGTTTTACTTTACATTTATTTTTTTAAAATCAGTAAATTATTTAAGAAAAATAAAAAAATAAACTATTATAAAAGTTACCATTGAAATTTATCAAGACAGAGTGATTGTTATTTAAAATAAAAAATATTAACATGTTTTAAATTACATGATTTAAATAAGTGATTAATAATATATAATTTTGTTTTGTTAAAATATCAAATACTCTTGGGCCTTAAAATAGTAATTGATTTTTTAATCCAGAGTGATTGTTATTTAAAAAAAAAAAATTAACATGTTTTAAAGTACATGATTTAAATAAGTGATTAATAATATATAATTTTGTTTTGTTAAAATATTAAATACTTTTGGGCCTTAAAATAGTAATTGATTTTTTGATCCATTAAGGTAGAACATTTATTCAATGTTTTTTGGAGTTCTTCTTTAATACTAAGCATAAAGCCCCAACTATATAATTTGTCATAAAAACAAAAGTAAGCCCAAAACTCTATTCCATAAATAACTGTTGGTTTAATTTAAGTAATGCGGTTCAATCAACTATATGACTTGTATTATTTGTAACACTCTAGAAAGAGTCCAAATTTAAATGACAACTTATATCAGTAGATAAAAAGAATGACTCTATTTTAATAGAGTAGATATATATATATATGTCTGGAATAAACCTATGTTGGTTTAGTGTCGGTTTCCATCTATGTTTTGCAGCAGACCTAACCAGTTTTGGTTAAGCAGTGGTCATGGGTATATAGTAGCTTTTTCGACATTCATGGTTCAAAGTATAGTAGTTATTGTTTCCTTTTGAAGATATCTATTGACTATTGCACTCCACCATTACTACTCCTTACTAACTAGCTGCAAGAATTTAAGAGTCCTTATCCATATCCATGCCTCCTTTATCAACTAGCCGGTTCATGAACTCACTAGAGAGCCCAATGAGCCAGGCAGGTTACTGTGAACCTGCTTCCATTCTACTTATGCTGTCAATATTATGGTTGCAAGTGTGAAAAGCTGCACACAATTCATGTAGATAAGTACTATTTATATACTTGGGTGAATATAAAGAAAAAGTCACTTTGCAATTAAAAAACAAAAAAAGAGAATAGCAATTTGCTGACATAATGTTAAACCAAAACAGGTAATGATGACCGGGTGATTGTGGTCGAGTGGTAAGGAGACGGGGCTGAGACACCAACATGTTTCAGGTTCGATCCACCTGCTGCGCGAAACTAAGTCACAATTATCCTGGTCACCTAACACGGATATGGGCCTATGTTTTAGGGCCCATTTGAATACTCGGAGAGAGGGTCTATTTGTGGGGTGCACCTCCCCTTGGGGATTAGTCTGGGCCTCTCCATGGGCCTAGGATACCCCCAGGTTAATCAAAAAAAAAAAAAAAAAAAAACAGGTAATGATGAAATGGTAAACACTGTAGGACATACAGAACATGGGGTACTACAACGTTGTGCTATTGCTGCTGTTGCGCCTACATGAGATGGACTTTTCCCTATTGTGTTTGGCCGTGATTCTTCTATGGACCCAAGTTTGCATTCTTTCATTAAGCCTTGACATGAAAGATGGTACTTTCTCTTGATCTCCCTGATTTTTATCCCCGTAGGCAGGTCTGCTAAGAGGAACACTAAAAGCACCATTAACCCAAAACTCCAATTAGAGATGCTTATCTATTCTTTTTTTAATTTTTAATTTTTTGTCTGATTAAAAAATAAAAAAAATGAACCACTTGCGGGTCGCTACGTATTAGTAGAACCCGCAAACAATGCAAGCATCAATGCTTAAATAGATTTCAGAAGCACATGTGTTTAAAATTTTTGTGGAATCCACCCACTATTATACTAATTTTTTCTTAAGCACTTCTTCTAAGCACTTGGGTTAATGGTGCTCTAAGTTTTCTTGTTGCTCAAGAGCTCTACAACTTGGAAGAAAACTGCTTCTCCCAAGTCCCAAGTAAATGATATATCCGATTAAGCTTGCACACATTGACATGCCCATGAGATGTGAACCCAGTCCCATATAGTGTTTATTCATTTTTTTTGCTGAATTCTACTGTTTAAAGTCTTAAGATATTGATTTTCGTAGTAGAGTAAATGCAACTCAATAAAAACGACAAAACAGAAGTGTCCATCTTCTTATGGATTCGGGATCAGATAAATAGATTCTAATGTTAATAACTTGAAAACAACACTTACAACAGTTTTATACCAAGAGTTTGGTGAGTTGGTATCATCCACACGTGCCATGTAGATCATCACATGCCATGCATTTAGCAAACGTGGACTTCTTGGACCTCATTCCATTGTTTTAGTGGGCGCATTTGTATTTAATGTTTCCAAAACTTACTTTACTACACCCTAATTAATCCATTCTTTTCTTTTCTATTTTCCGACATCAGATCTATTTCCTCATACAGTATTACTGTGTCTTATAAATTACTTCTTCCGTATTTTAATACATCACGTTTTAAGATTATAAACACAAATATTAAATAATTAGTTTCTTATATTTTACAAAACATAATTAATTATTTACCAAGCCACAATTCAAACCAACATTAATAGACAAAATTATCATATAATATGAAAGCTAATAATTAATTGTGCTAAAAATTAAAATATCATCAAATTTTGAAACAAAAACATTCCTTTAGAACGTCAAAATGGAGAGTGTCAGTATAAAACTAATATTTTATAATATTCAATATTTTTGTAGGGCTTTATTTAGCTAAAAACAGAAAATCAAATTATATATTATACAATATAAGAACACAAAATCATAAAACCCAACAAAAAAAAATATACTCATTTTTGGAAGAAAAAAAAAGAAGCTATATGTGGTGTTCTGGACAATTCTAAAATATTTACATAAAAACATAATCCACTAACCACATGTTTCATGATGCATTTGTTTTTACCATTTTTTTTGTTAACATTTGATTTTACCATTTACTAATTTAGATAGAGACGTTCTTTTAGAATATGTAAAGAAAAGTTATTATTGGATTATCCTTTTACCCATATTTTTCCATTTATAAATTCAAAGCATAACACGGCAGAATTTTATAAAGTAGAGGAAACCTGATAGAAGACAAGTGCCATTCGTTATGGTGTCAACTTATAGACGGTATAGTTCATAGGAAATTATATATTAGTGGAAACAAATATTTGTGTCTTTTTATACTTCATTTCGTATAAAGTTTGGTAGGCAGTCACTATTTACTTTGCATTAGATTCTTAGGTACTTTCTCCAACTGCTCATACATCTTGCACACTATGTCACCAATGGTCAATAACTTAATAGTTACCCACCCAAAGATAAACGATACTTATTTCACATAAAACTTAGATGATTTGGTGCTTGAACTTGACAAGTTAAATACCATGCTAAATGTGAGAAGGTTAAACTGACACACTTATCTTTTGCAGATGACCTTCTGATCT